TCGGGATGAACTTTTTATCCAGTGGCACAAATCCATACGCTGTGCATGGTCGCCTGGTTCCAGATGTTGTACCATTTGATCATGGTAAGAATAACTCTTCATGATGTAAAGTTTGCCACACCTGAATACATGATATGCCGATGCGAGAGGCGATTCTACGAGTGATAAGACGCGGAATTCACTGAACAATATCAAGAATGTGCTCTCGTGTGTCTATCATTCGTACATCCTGCCTTTCAGAGTGCACAGAAACACTTGCAAGAGAACCAGTATCACGCAATGTCTGGTGAATTCGCGTAAATACACTTCGAGATGGAATCCTTCGATCGGGAAAACGCCTTTGGTATTCTTCAACAGCAGCACGTGCATTGCGATCGCAAAATCCACACACAAAATGCATATCACAATATTCCACGTGTGAAAACACAAGAGGCATTTCAGCAACTCATCACACAACTAATTTACCACCCATTCACGACCCCGCCGCAACGTAATCTGTAGGCTCTGGTAGGTTGCGCATGAGATCACGACTAGTGTGACATCACCACACTCAAGTACAAACAGATAACAGTCACAGCTGACTGTCCACAGTGCGTGGACCTGCAAGAAGACCACACTTTTCTCGGGCCATTATCTCTGTAACCGTTCAACTTTGGACATAGGTGTTTTGGGTTATATCGGCATACTTTAACATAAGGAACACCCTCCCGAAGTTTGGTCCATTCCTCCTGGGACACCCTGTATTGATCCATATAAGAGGCAAATTTGATAGTTCAAGGTTTGTTAATGTATTGCCTGATGGCAGATCCATGAGCCGAAACTTGTTGTGACATCATACAACAAATAAATTCGGTTATGCACAGTGAAATGTGAGTGAGTTGTTTGGTATATTTTTGTGTTTGACAGGGAAAATAAAACCCATATATAGTCAAAGGGTTAATGACACTGTATCAAATGCAAATGTTATAGAGCATAAAATGAACGCATAGTTATGAATGACTATGAAATGGGGAAAAATATGACAAGGCCATGCAATAGATCAGGTAACTACATGTTGGCTTATAAATAGGACCCTTTATATCAATCCCAGGAATTGACATGAGAGATTTAAGATAAAAAAGTTGAAACATGGCACGATTTTCTCTTCATTCCTTGGCTTTCTCCTGGAAGTCAGCACTTTGCCATTGCTACATACTCCTGGAAGTCAGCATCTTTCCATTGGTACACACTCATTTACTAGCATTGCCTGAGAAGGCAGCACATTGTCACATCCTTGAACTTTACCCTGGGAGCTTCAACTGTGATCCAGCCTAGGCTGGCCATGAAGTAAGCAAGCTAAGTACTTAAAATGGCAATATGTGGACATAACCCATTTAAAGGTTGCCTAGTGAGCACTAAGGAAAATCTTGATTAGAACAGCTGGTCTTTGGACTGAGATACAAACCTAAAACACTTTCATACAAAAAAGAGTGCTGATGACATATTTTATGGGATGATTATGAATGAATAGTAGGAAAGGACATGAGGGGAAGTAGCTGGAGCCTGCTTCAAAGTACTGTCCTTGAATCTAGCTGGTGGAGCTTGAGATGTTCACACAAACCTTTTGTCAAACTAGCTGACCTCCAACTAACATTTGGACTGACAATGCCAGGAACATGATACAAGAGTAACAAATGAACCTGGCTATTTAGTTTGCCAAATATGTAAGAAATTTTTCTACCTGGCTTAGTAAAGTAATGAGACTTTAAATTCATTTGCTAAGGTATGATTTCTAGATTTTGGATATTCTTTCAACCAAATCTCTTGTATAAAATGACTTCAACACCCACACTGCTGACCATAAAATAAAAACTGGACACTGTTTCCCTACAGGTAGAGACAGCTTGAGTGTGAAGTTGACCATTTACTGCAATCAATGCTGAGGCTAAGAATGCATGATGTTTACTTCTATATCCTCAGGAGGTTTGAGTGAACACCAGGGTCATTCTGAACATTATGAAAGGAAAAGTTCAGTGTTCCTCCCAGAAATAAAATCTTAGATACTGTCATATTAGCGACTGACTCAACACAAAACATAATATTTATCTGCAGTGAAACAATTTCATGATTTCTGTGATGCATTGAACATATGAATGAAGCCCTTACTCAGAATTTGAGAGAGATTTTTCAATTCACAGAAACTAAATCAAGCAGTAAGAACAACCTCATCCTCCTACAGAGGGACATTTTAAATTTTCAGTTTTGAATTTCTTATAGTTCAAACTCAGGCTCACTTATGTGAGTAGTAAACACAATTTCACACTGACACCAGGAAAAGGGGTTAAAACTCAATAGTTTTTCATAGTAAATTCAACAATATGGAGAACCATTCACTTGAAAAACTGACTTCTAAATTCCATCAACATACCACTGAAAAGCGGCCTCCGTAGTCTAGGGGTAACGTTCCCACCTCATGACTCAAGGTACGCGGGTTGAAGCCCGGCTGAGGTCGTGGAATTTTTAAGGGCGGAAAATTTCAGGGAACAAGTCCTCCAGGAGAGACTTTAAGCCGTGTGTCCCGTGTCATAGCTTTACGGCACGTAAAAGATCCTCATGTCTCTAGGAGACCTCTAAGCAAAATTAGGCAAAAGTTTCCTGCCCAAGTAGTTTCCAATTCCTCTGGTAGATGGGGAAGTATCGGGGACCACTGCCAGAGAGGTGGCAGACCTCGCTGGCAGAATGGGGCTGATAGCGAGCACCAGTACTGGAAGGGCATGGAGACTGGTAGAATAATTACAGGGGGATGCACAACAGATCACAGTGCATAATAATAATAATAATAATAATAATAACAACAACAAATACAACATACCACTGAAACTGGTGAGGTTACGAAGGTGCCACTGAGTGAATGCCTCTTGGCCAGCCTCAGGGGGAACACCCCCAATGAAGAGAGGTGTTGTGAGGTGCAGAAAATCCCTTGTTCCCTCATTAATAATGCTACGAGCAAGACCACGATCCACCCGCAGTGTGAAATTCTTCTTAATTGCAATCAGCTCCACCATATGATACTTTCCATCACTAACCATCTCAAAACTGCCAAAAAGAAACAGTCATACTCTCATTACTTCTTTGTATTATTGATATCACAATTCTTTTTAAATTTCAAACTGCCGATTGAAACTACAAGGATATTTGGAAAGTAAAGATACAAGTCCAGTAAAAATGCAAGGGATTTTTTTTTTCCAGAAATAGCAATGCTGGCATGTGAGATAGGAACCGTATGACAGGGTAGACCACAGTCACGGCAAAGTTGTGCTTGTAGTGTGTGTTTAAAATGGACGTGTTGATTCAAAATCCCGCCAAATGTGATGTTCATGGAGTAATATGATTTCTTCATTTGAAAGGAGAATCTGCTGCTGAAATTCATCATCAGGATATTCAAAACAAGCAGAGAGGAATGCTGATGTGAGGAGTCTGCTTGCTGCATGATAACGCCTGTCCACACACTGCTTGCACCATGCAAGAGTTGTTGCAGTCCTGCAAGTGGGAAGTATTGGCCCATCCACCACACAGCCCAGACCTTGCATCAAGTGACTATCAATCACTTGTTTTCTAAATTGAAGGAAAGTCTAGCTGGAAAGTCCTTCTCAGATGATGATGAGGTTCAAGACACGGTGATGAAATAGCTAAGAGAGCAGGCAGGAGATATCTATGATGCTGGAATAAAAAAACTTGTTCCCAGGCACACTAAGTGCATTGTAATCCATGGTGACTATTGAAAAGTAAATAATGGTGTGTTGTAAAAGTGCTACAAGTGAATCCAAAAAAGATTTTTTACAAATATTTTCTGGACTTTGTACCTTTACTTTCCAAATAACCTTCATATCTTCCTCTCTAGAGAGACCTCAGATAGGAAACCTCACCATTGGAGGCTACTGTAAAATTCATGATGTATGGCTTTTCAAAGTANCGTATGACAGGGTAGACCACAGTCACGGCAAAGTTGTGCTTGTAGTGTGTGTTTAAAATGGACGTGTTGATTCAAAATTTGATTTCTTCATTTGAAAGGAGAATCTGCTCCTGAAATTCATCATCAGGATATTCAAAACAAGCAGAGAGGAATGCTGATGTGAGGAGTCTGCTTGCTGCATGATAATGCCTGTCCACACACTGCTTGCACCATACAAGAGTTGTTGCAGTCCTGCAAGTGGGAAGTGCCAATCCACCACACAGCCCAGACCTTGCATCAAGTAACTATCACTTGTTTTCTAAATTGAAGGAAAGTCTAGCTGGAAAGTCTTTCTCAGATGATGATGAGGTTCAAGACACGGTGATGAAATAGCTGAGAGCAGGCAGGAGATATCTATGATGCTGGAATAAAAAAACTTGTTCCCAGGCATACTAAGTGCATTGCAATCCATGGTGACTGTTGAAAAGTAAATAATGGTGTGTTGTAAAAGTGCTACAAGTGAATCCAAAAAAGATTTTTTACAAATATTTTCTGGACTTTGTATCTTTACTTTCCAAATAACCTTCATACCGTCCTCTCTAGAGAGACCTCATATAGGAAACCTCACCATTGGAGGCTACTGTAAAATTCATGATGTATGGCTTTTCAAAGTACCTGAGATCTGATTACTGAACTCAACATAACAAAACACTGTTTAGTAATTAGGTTTACATGGCATTTTAAGTTCAAAAATATCAAAAACCTAGAATAACTTATAATAGGAGAGGAAATACATGCCTGTACATTGTTGATACAGGATAGTTGCCAACATCATAGCTGACACGGATCCGACCATTAAACAATTCAACAGCCAAGTGCTCTGATTGGCCATCATATAGAAGCACACCATTCTCTTGCTCTGTTGCAAACACCATGGTCACATTGGCTGATGGCTTTGTTCTCAGTGGTTCCAGTTCCACAAATGAGTTATTGTGTACAAAGCTAAGACTTGTCAAGTACTCACATCTCTTCCCTGAACACAAAAAGATACAATGCTTAAACTTCTTGAGCTGTGTAACACATTATTTTGACACTGAACTAATTGTCCAATTGTGACACTGAAATACTTGTTTATTTTGAGCTAGCACTGACCTATCCACCACTGCTTCATGCAGACTTCCATTATGATTTCCTTCTTGTGGGTTAGATGTAAACATTAACTTATGAGGGTCATTCATTTCACCCCCTAGGACTACTTTTTGGAACATAACTATCACATAAATTGAGGGTTACCTGCACTTAAAACTTCTGAATTGCCATAAATGATGCTAAGAACTATGAATAGAAAGTACTGGAATAAATTACAGTACAACTGAGGAAGCAAAAGAAATGTGGAGAAATGAAGTAAATGGAGATATACAGAAGTGAGTTGCAATGCATTGGACACACATGCAAAATGAGTGCTTATACAAGGATAAAGAAGAACGGAGAATGAAATATAACCAATACCAATGCAATGACTACAACCCATGTCACCATATTATAACATAATATCACTTACAACATTATTGGAGATTTGTGTCCAAGATATTTTAATCTTTTACTTTTTTATATGTAATTTTTAAAGTTTTTTTTTTCAGTGAGATACACCCCACCTTATGATGGTGTTGTAAGACCTAAACATATCAGGGTTTTAGCATCACACAGTCAACATATGCAATAAACAGGACATACTTTGATGGTAAATTGCATCTTAATTTTAACAATGGAGGAAGCTTAGTAATAAATAACTATTCCTGCTGGAAATATGAATGAATGACAATAATATTTTTCATATTTCTTCAGCCCCCTGATCATGCACCCAAGTTATTAGTGCAAATCTGGTGGTGAAGATGAACATACAATACAAACCTGAATATCCAGGTGCACATTTGCAGATGTAATCGTTCGAGCCCATTGGTTGGAAGCAAATGCCATTCTTGCAGTCATGGTGTTGGCATGGTGATGTCTGAGGATAGAGCATGGCCACCATGGGAGCAATTTCACAGAACTTGCCTGTGAAGTCCCCTGGGCACTTGCATGCATAGTCATTCACACCATCCACACATGTAGCCCCATTCTGCAATCAACAGATGTCTCTCAGAGGAAGAATGTGGGGTAGCTGGAGTCAATAGCAGTTGAATATTTTGTCAACAGCAATGAGCCCATTTGAACTCTTGTCTTGTGACTGCCTTCTGTCACAGTTACAATAATAGGACTATGGGCAGGATTATCAAATGATGTTTACATATATTTACCAGCTTTTGGGCCCCTGCAATCAATAATTTTCATACTGTAACCATAGGTCTTCAACTGACACTCTTTAACACTTCCCATTCCATGAATAAAAATTTATATCTGACTTCATGATCCATGTTTCTCTATTCCATAAAGTCAACTGGCTTTAGATTATTTGTCCTCAAGACAACCTAAATTCCTCTTGATTGTTTCTGGGTCACTAATGACCTACTTATATAACTACTCTGTTGGTTACAAAATTTGAGTGGAATTCATGCACAGGATCTCAAAGGGTCTATTTGTTGGGAATATCTCATAATGAAAATGACAAACCTCCAATCACATGCCTGTACAGATATGTACACTATGAGTACTGTTACACAGTTTGAATTAGAGAGAAGTTCCCACTCCACCCTAACAAATAACAATTTAATAAACATAAAGTTAAGGTTAATATTTATGATCTAGGAGTAAGGTAATGGATGATCTCAGTGAGACAAGGTCTGTGATGGCTCAGTCCCTGTAGGAGTCAGTTTGCAAATAAATAAACTATTCTAGGACAAAATCATAGCAAGGATATTCAGCTACTTAAACATTCAGGACCCTTGGATCTTTCATGGAGTCACTAATTTCCATACATATTGTCACATGTCTGCTGAGAGCTAGTATTGTGAAGCCAGCAGAGATGGCCACTGCAAGGCACTGACACTTGATCTTTTAAAGTTTACATGTACCGTATGTCCAAAAAGTATCTGACTTTATTCTTTCCCCTGTAAGTAATGGCCAAAGGGGTGGGGAAACCGAGTGTAGTGGTAGAAGGGACTTTCATGTGCATGCGTGATTTTTTGCTGACTTGCAACACTGCCGGATGCGTCTGTGGCTGCTTGATAGCGAAGTGGTGTAACACGTGTTCATCATATTCTCGTTTAGCTCAAGATGACAGAATGCTTGGAGCAGTGATACTGCATCAAGTTTTGTCAGAAACTTGGGGATACCCAAACGGAAACAATTCACAAAATTTAGCAGGCTTTCGGCGATGATGCAATGGGGGTCACTCAAATTAAAGAGTGTTTCAACCACTTTAAACTTGGCTGTATGTCGGCAGACAGTGAGCAGCGTTCTGCAAGACCGTCAATGCTGATGTTATTGAAAACGTGCAGACACTTATCATGGAGGACCGTCGTTTGGCCATCCGTGAAGTTGCTGATGAAGCTGGGATCAGCAGAGGTTCCACAAACACAATTTTAAATGAGGATTTTGGCATGCGAAGAGTGGTGGCAGAATCTGTGCCCAAGCTGCTTTCGCTGGAGCAGCAACAACTCTGCCTTGAGGTCACGCAGGACATGCTGGAGTGCGCCAACAGGGGTTCTGAGTTCCTGAAGACTGTGATCACTGGTGACGAGTTGTGGGTGTATGGATATGACCCGGAAACCAAGGTCCAGGCGTCACAATGGAAGCATCGAACATCCCCGAGGCCCAAAAGAGCACGACAGGTTCGGAGCAATGTGAAGGTGATACTGACTGTTTTTTCGACTACCAGGGTGCTGTGCAACATGAGTACGCACCACTAGGCCAGACTGTCAATAAGGAGTAATACCAAGAAGTCCTCCGCCATCTTCATGATGCAGTTTGGCACAAGAGACCGGAGCTGTGGGATTCACGCAACTGGCAGCTGCATCAGGACAACGTCCCAGCTCATTCATCGCACATGATCCAGGGTTTCCTGGCCAAGCATGGCATTCCGCAGGTTTGCCAGGCTCCCTACTCTCCTGACATGGCTCCTTGTGATTTCTGGCTGTTCCCGAGATTGAAGACACCGCTAAAAGGCTGCCGTTTTGACAGCCGTGAGGACATCATACAGAACACGATGGCACAGCTGCACACCATTCCAAAAGAAGCCTTCCAGAATTGCTTCCAGCAATGGAAGGACCGCTGGGCTAAGTGTGTGGAGTCACAAGGGGCTTACTTTGAAGGGGATTCGGTATTGTAACCACCCAGATACAGAACTTTTTTCCCGGCCCAAGGTCGGATACTTTTTGGACAGAGTAGTAAATCCATTTTGGCAGATGAATGCTACGCATCCATTTAGCAATAGTGCAGCTTCGAACCCTTCAGGTGAGAAACTAATGGCCTTATTTGACTTGAACAAATTTAAAATTTCAGCATCACAATGTTCCACTCATTATTCACCTGTGGGAAGTGGTGACGTTCTGGATATTGTCGTACATCAGCATATCAGAGTGTCAGATGTCATTGTTACTGATATTTGGACTCAGACAAACTACCAATAGTATTCCATATATTGGATCACGTCAAAAATATAAATCTTTCGGAAACTGCTGAAAAATTCATAGATTGGGAATGGTTACAAAGCCTTGCCTTGTTGATTTTCTTTGTGTCATGCTTACATATCACTTAACAGCCATACTGGATGAGAAGAAGCTTTTTATTATAATACAAAACAAAAACAAATGAATATAGATCACTATTACCAACTTGAACACTTTTACTNAAATGTTATAAACACATTTCTCATTTTCATCCTTAATTTCAAAATGTTGTCAACATTATTAGCTGTTTTACAAAGTTAAATTGAGTAACACTTAGTAATTTTGGTCTTCAGATTACAAAATTAGTACATGTAATTACTCGTAAAATTTTCTCAGTCTTATCAAAATCAGGCTTATTTCTTCTTAAGTATAATGTGTCTAAACATGGCAAATTTCTCTGGTGATAGCGGTTTTTTGTTAAAATGTCTGCCACCTGAGTTTCAGTGTTACAATATTTGATTTGAGAACAGTTTCTCTTTCAATTGTTCATTTATGTAGTGATGTAGTGATATTTATGTGCTTACTCCTACGCATTACTTGTCCATATTAGCTTGATTGCACTCTGATTGTTGACACATAGTTCAGCTCCCACCCTTTTTCCTGTCAACTCCTCTATCAATGTCTTTAGATATTTCCATTCTTTACAGCACTCAGCTGCTGCAATATATTTGGCCCCAGTGGTTGATAATGCAACAATACTCTGTTTCCTAGAGCACCATGATATTGGGCCCCCTGACATCATAATTACATATCCCATTACACTCTTCCTATCCTTTACATCCCCTGCATAATCAGCGTCACTAAATGCTTTCAGTTTCACAGTTTCGGAGTAAGATGACGTGTATTTTAATCCTGAATCTCGTGTACCTTTCACATACCTAAGGGTCCTTTTCACATTCTGTCAGGATTTTCCAAGGTTCTACTTTCCACATTTACAGCGAATGCCATATCGGGTCTGGTTTAGAAGTCATATATAGCAGGCTTCCTATAGCTTCTCTGTAAGGAAATCTTATGTCATTTTATCCTTCATCATTTGTTCGAGGGGTCGTGGCCATGGGTGTTTTCATTTCTCGACTTTCTTGCATGTTGTATTTTTCCAACATTTGGCTTGCATAGTTGGTTTGAGAGATATGTATCCCATCTTGTTGTCTCTCAATTTGTATTCCTAAATGAACTTTTGGATTTCTGGTTTTTGTTATCTGGAATTGATTTTCCAGTTTCAGCAAAATTTCCTCTATTTGTCTTTCATCCTCTCCCATGATTATCCCGTCAATTACATGAATGACCATGAACAAATTATTGGCATCATTCTTAAAAATGCATTGGTCAGATTTTAGTTGGTTTAGACCTTTTAGAAGGTCTTTTAGAAAGGTTGTCAACTTCTTGTTCCATTGCGATGGTGCTTGTCTTAGGTCATACAATGTCTTTTTCAGGAGACATATCTTGCCAGGGTTCTTGTATCCTTCTGGTATCTCCATGTAGTTTTCCTCCTCAAGGTCTCCATACAGGAAGGCAGCCTTCATATCAAAGGTTTGCATGTTCATATTCTTACGTGCTGCTATGGCAAACAGTACTCTAGGAGAATTCATGTCAACAACTGGGCTAAGGGTATCCTTGAAATCTAATTCCCCTTCCTTTTGTTGACATCCTCTCACAACCAGTCTGGCTTTGTCTCTTCCATCATCCTTGATTTTGAAAACCCATTTACTGGTCAGAATTTTCTTGCCCATTGCTTTCTCTCTGTTTACATATATCCAAGTTTTGTTTTGGTAGAGCGAATCCTTTTCCTCTTTAATGGCTTTCTTCCACTTCTCGCTGTCTTCGATCTCCATGCACTCGTCATATGTATGATGGGGTACCCAAAAGAAACCG